ATACTATTTAACGTGGATCCTAAAATTATATCATAACTTTCATGTTCTAATACATTATAGTAAATATAATATAATTGTTTTTTAACTTATATAAATTTTCAATATACACAATATGTTCTAATCTATATTGATAAAATAAGTATTCTTATAGATTTTATTTTTATTTTATTTTTACATAGTTGTGTATATTTTTAAACTTTTAAAATGAGGTTTCTATAATCTTTCTAACTTTTGTTTTTCCAATTTATATACTTTCTTTTTTTATCATTCGTCTATAAATTTTTGTCTTTTTTTCCAATTTAAATATCATTCGTTTTTATATTAATTTTAATTGAAATTTTTATTCTATATGTATTATTTATTTATTTTATGGCTTATGTAATGTTTATATGTTATGTTTATGTTAGAAAAGTCACACTTATTAATATGACATTTTTTTGTCTTTAACTATTTAGATAAAATTTATAATGGAAATAATATATTTTGTAATATAAAAATATAGAAATCTCGCCTATTTTAGTATAACGATTTTTTTTTCTTTTTTAAAATTAATCCGTAATCTTTGTTTAGAATATATTTATTATTTTATTTTAATTATTTTTATTAATATCGGAAATATTACATAGTTTAGTAGAACGATTTTTTTTTATTAATTAGTCAATAATCCTTGTTTATAATATATTTCTTATTTTTTTTTTAAATATTTTTGTTAATATTGACACATGTCACAATCTAAATTAACAATTACGCATGTCACGATCTAGTGCTTAAGAATTTTGCCTACGTGTCAAGCTCTCATCGGACGCATTCTCCTTTATATAATAAGATTAATCCAAACTTGCTGAATGCACTTTAATATATCCAAGAATTGATGAAATCAATTATAAAATTATAATGTCATCTAGATTCAGTGCTTTCAGATCAAAAAAGAGAGATTGTAACGTGTTGATTTATAAAATTCAAATGGATAATGAGAAAGGGATTGACCGCTCAAATATATAAAATCGTTTTGGTTCATTTCGTGTCGATTCTAACAAATATTCAACCACTCCCAACAATTCCCCCATTAATAAATCTTCTTGAATTTCATTGTCAAGTGGCATTTTCTGTGAATATCGAAATACATAAATAAATTTAGATAGCATAATGTCGATTATTTATAGTTTTAAAAATCTTTTACATAAAATCATCTTAATTCGATTGACCAATCAATTTTAAAATATATCAAGCTATGATTTTCCTCTATAAGAAGTTAAGAACAATTCTAAA